TTCATTTGTGCAATAGCATGTTCCTTTAGGCCTGTATTGAACAGCAGCGTGTCAGACAGTGTGGTGGCGCTAAGAATCCCAGTCATGGTAGAGTAGTGATCACAGTGGCATCATCTCCAGCTGTTTGTAACGAATGTTCTGAGTGTGAGGAGGTGTGAGATTTCTACTGGTCTAAGGTGACAGGTATGGCTGTGGTGTGTTCCCTCCATTTTTGAAAGCAAGCCCAAGTTTCACTCCGTGAAAACCAAGATATAACTTCTTTTTCTCATCGAAGATTTGACTCCTGGTTTCCACCAGGGGACACAGGGGTCCAGGAGCCTCGTGAACTACCCCGCCCTGGGGGGACCCCAGCAGGAGCTCCCCATATCGTCGGGCTCCGTGCATCTTCGAGCCTTTTCATCCCGAGGCCTCACTGCCTGCAGCTGCTTCCATTTCTTCTGAGCGCCCAGGAGGGCGGGCAGAGAGCACCTGGCAGCGGCAAGAGGCACTTAGCCAGTGTTAGGGGTAGAACTGTGTCCCCCAAAACAGGTATGTTGAAGTCCTACGCGCTGGTACCTCAGAATGCGACTTATTTGGGAACAGGGTCCTTGCAGACCTAATGAGCTAAATTTAGATGAGGTCACACTGGAGAAGGATGGCCCTAATCCATGGTGACCAGCGTCTTCGTAAGAAAACACAAAGCCATGTGAAGACACGAAGCCATGTGAAGACACGAAGCCATGTGAAGACACGCAGACACAGAGGGGTGCCCACTGGAGCCCAGCCGGTTTGGCTCAGTGGATAGAGCGTCGGCCTGCGGGCTGCAGGGTCCCAGGTTCGATTGCAGTCAAGGGCACGTGCCTGGGTTTCAGACTTGATCCCCAGTAGGGGGCGTGCAGGAGGCAGCCGATCAATGATTCTCTCTCATCATTGATGTTTCTAACTCACTCTCTCCCTTCTTCTCTGAAATCAGTAAAAATACATTTAAAAAAAAATACCCACTGGGATTATGCACCAAGGACCACCAGCACAGCTTCAGGAGCTGGGAAGAGGCAAGGAAGGATTCCTCGTTAAGGTTTCAGAGGGAGCCTGGCCCTGCTAACTCCTTGAGTTTGGAGACTTCCAGAAATTTCTGCTGTCTGACGCGGCCCAGGTTGTGACCCTCCACTGCCAACAGGGCTCTCCCGGGGACTGGGATGCTGCACGCCCAGGGGAGGGGTGGGTGTGGCCTCTGTGACAGCGTGGGGACTCCCAGGTCAGGACGCTGATGGGACCACCAGGTTCCAGGGCCGGCAGGGCTCCCATCACAGCCTGGCCCAGGGGCACCGTGTCGCCTCCGGGTTAGGAAGACATGGGCCCCACCTGGCTCTTCTCCAGGTCGGAATCAGGGAAAACCTGTCAGAAGCCGCAGGGATGCTGAGAAGTACACTCTTTATTCCCACAGGACAGTAAAAGGTCTTTATCGCTCAGGACACCCACTCCAACCAGCCAGGGGGAAAGGGATTCCCAGGTACAAATCTCCCTAGTCCTGCTGGGGGGTCAGGTGATGGGTTCTCCTGGGAGACTGGGAGCTCCTGAGCGCCCCCTAGAGTCCACTCTCCCTGGGCGGCTCTCCGAGGTGGCTGTTGGCTGAGGACAGTGGTTCCAGATAGAGCTTCCTGCTGCACCACTGACTTGGTCTCTGAGCCCAGCCGCACGTCCCCGAAGGCCGGGGGTGCTCGATCGGGGGCATTCCAAGGCCAGGACAGCTGCTGTCTGCAAGACAAACCGTCCGTGGGTGCAGGCAGGTGCCCGGCGGTGCAGACGCCCGTGCCAACATGCCACCCTCACCCCCCTCCCCGTTTTAAAAACAGCAGGAAGGACCCTGGGCCGTTTTGGCTCAGTGGATAGCGCCTTGACCCGTGGGCTGAAGGGTCCAGGATCCGAATATAGTCAAGTGAAAGGTCCAAGGTTTGATTCCGGTCAAGGGCACGAAGGGTCCAGGGTTCGAATATAGTCAAGTAAAAGGTCCAAGGTTTGATTCCGGTCAAGGGCATACCTGGGTTGCAGACTCAATCTCTGGCCCCGGTCGGGGTGCATGCGGGAGGCAGCCAGTCGATGTGTCTCTCACATCAGGGATCATGTTTCTCTCTGTGTGTCTCCCTCTCTTCTACTCTCTCTAAGAATCAATGGAAAAATATCCTTGGGTGCGGATTAAGCAAAAAGGAAAAAAAAAATAGCCAGCAGGAAGGGAGGAGAGCCTGGCTCACCTGGTGCGTAACAGTCCGGGTATTTCGGCAGCCATTCGTGCTGCAAAACTTTTGGAGAAGGAGCGGGAGGAGGCTGCGTGGACCTCCCTCCGTATATTCTAAAATAAGGACAAAAGTCATGCAGTCACTCCTTTGGTTAGGAATGGAGATCAGAATAAACAGAACCCATTTCTGTGTGAGCGGAGATGTTTATTTCCAATCCTTACCATTTATCCTAAAGGGAAGGATTATCATCTCCATTTTACAGAAGGGAAAACTGAGGCCACACGAGCCACCCTGTGCCGTGCCCTGCCCTTGCCCTCCCTCAGCACCCTGGGGCCTTAGGCTGCTGCCAGGAGGGTGACCCCGTTGGTTTTCACTCCCAGCCTCTCCCTGTAAACCAGCAAGGACCACAAGCAGGACTTGCGGAGAATGCTGGGCACGGACGGGGAACGCGGGGCGGCTGGCCATGAGGAAGGCCGAGCAGTTACAAACGAGGCCCGTGGAAAACAAACCAGACACCACATCGTCCTGGTGCTGGGATGGGGCAGCCGGGAAGCCCTGGCCCAGGTCGGCCCTGCCCCTTGTCGCCTGCGTCCCGCCCGCCCGAGCCAGACTTACTCCTCATAGGGCTTCAGGTGCGCTCTCTCGGACCGCTCCAGGAGGTCCATGAAGTCCCGGTAGCAGTTCTTGGCCATGACCGAGTACCGGGTGGCGCAGCCCAGCTCGGTGACCCTGGCTCTGGGCAGGTAGCCCGCCCAGCCGGGGATGGGGGGCTCCTCTAGCGGCTTCCTCAGGTGTCGGCATTCTATACAGAGACCCACCCTTCCTGAGGGCTTGGAGAAGCCGCCCCTGGGCAGGGCCCCTGAGTTGGCTAGCACCCCAACAGTTAGCCCCGGTGAACCCCTAGGCCTGTAGGTGTCCTAATGGCAGCTGCCACTGGCTGGTGGACTCTCCGTGCCAGGCACCTTGGTTGGAGTTACACATACAGCCTCCCATTTCATCCTCTCACAAGCCAGGAGAAGTTGATGCTATTTTTACATCCACTTTATGGAGGAGGAAACGGAGATTTTAAAAAGGTGAAGAGGCCGGCTGGTGTGGCTCAGGGGTTGATCATTGACCTATGAAACA